GGCTTGTTTATAAAGGAAAAAGGATCCCCATTCTCTCAAGCTTTTTGGAGACAATGCCTTTAATACCCTGTCTTTTGACTTGGAGTGTGAACACACAATGCAATATACGGATGGTGTATTGTAGAACTGTATACTTCAAATGTATATGTTTATTAACCAATATCACTCCAATTAATTCAATTAAAAAAAGGTCATGATCTGACCACTATTCCTGATAATCCTAAGTAGGGATGTTATACCACCCTGATCTTCACTCCTGCTTTCACTCTCTGAAATCCTGCGTGGGCTTTCCTCATGACTAGTCTCTGTGCTTTCACCCCTTTCCTGGTTTTCTTTTCAGTGCACTTACCCAAACTAGGGCATTGTCTTGTCTATATTCAATAAGGTAGTTCTAATACTGTTATCAGATTTCTGCAGAATACTTAGAGGCTTAAAGGTGAGTATCGAAGGGATGGATAGCGGTCATTACTATTAAAATACTGGATGTATCATCTCAGTCAGGCCCCTTCTGGGCATTTCTATTCTTAGCCTCTAGTGTGAATCTTGTTACTAATGCTGGCTTTCCAACAGCAGTCACCGTCTCCTCTCTTCTTGATCCCCTGGTTACAAATGTAGTTCTCTGATTTGACTAAAAATCAACATCAACAGCAACAAAACCCCCCAAACCAAACAATTTTATTCCTCGTTAGTCTCAACTGTTTTATTGCCCTCTACCTCTTCATGCAATACTGTTAGAAATGTATGTAAGTACACACACACACACACACACACACACATCTATGTATATGTACTTTCGATACTAAAATGAGCTAACAGTATTTACAAAGAAATGGAAGCATAATGACTTTTGTAGATATATTTGTGTGTGACACTTGACAATAACACCCTTACTCTAAGAAATTATGCATCTCCATACTTAAACTGTTGATGCATGATAAATGTTCAAATATATCTATGATGACCACTGAATTTTGAAAGTCTGTGGGTGTATGCAAAGGGAAAGAAACATGGGAGTAGGAAATATGAATGGAGAACGAGTAGTATGAACAAAATTAATATCACTTATAATCATTGAATGAAAAATTAATTATAACATTTGTAACATGCAGAAATATGTGTCTTTTTGAGCATAGAAATGCAAAAGCAATATTATAAACAAAATATTGGTGATTACTTTTTATTATCTGCAGATTTCTAAGAAACTAGATTTATGTCTTATTAGGTAAATCATAAAGTTAATTTTTCTGACTTTCATAATATTTTCCAAATCATGTTAGCTTATGCACTAAATGCATAGCAGTTTTCCCTCTTTAAAAATGCAAACATTTTTCTCCTTTCTTCCTATTAGCAAGTACTTAAAAATGTATCCAAGAGAGTAATTAATCTCAATGAGTAAAAATCCTTAATTACTATAATTGAAGTTTATCAGAATGATAGTTATTGGGTTAAATGCTGATTAATTATTAAAATATGTGTTTCCCCCCAAAATATATGTTTGCATCAATGACATGGAACTGTGCTATCTAGAAAATATAAATTAAGAGTCTCCTTTCTATCCTATAGTATTTTTTGCTGACAGGGAGTTTTATTGTGATTATGCTGCTGGGAATAGATTTCAGAATGACATTGTTAGAGAGAGGAAATCTGGATACAACTGAATTCCAGTTATATAATCTGGGGTGGCGGTGGGGAACACAGCACTGAGTTCTGCCTGTCTCCTGTGGTCTAATAATAAATGCTTGGAGTAAGAATCTGAGAGCCAGGCTAAATACCAGAATTGTTGACTTCGCAGAATTGAGCTTTAGAAAGAGTTTGAACTCCTTCTAGTTATTATATCCCCTTCTGCTGAAGACAATATTATTGTGGGATGTCCCTTACATTTTCTTTAGGAATTAGGAAAATTAATAGCAAGGTCCTTCGAACCACGCAGTTCTGTAGGTCACCCATTTTTATTTTCTGATTCTACCTTGGGACAATGACTATGGCAATATAGTATCTCCCATAATTTATGAACATTAAATGTCAGTTCTTAGAGTAGGAAAATAAGGTAAATATGGGCATATTTTAAAACTATAAAGTGCAAGCTTTACAACACCAGCTGTAATTCATGATTTTTGCTTTTGCTGCTGGTGTTGTGAAAATCCTCATTTAAGGATTTTATTTCCCCTGTCTTCAGTCCTCAGTAAATGTTAGTTAGTGACTTGTTTTTGCAAGTGGTCTGAGATAGGAAGCCACCATCACTTACAGGCAATTTGGTCTTCATTACAAATTAATGAAGTGATAATTGCTCTCTGCAACCTTTTACATGCAAAGCATTGTGGTGCTGTTTGCATGATCTTCTTTCAATTTATACCTCTGTTCTCAAGGAGTTATGATAGCTTGCCAAATGAGCATTAAGGGAAAAAAAAAAAGAAAAACAGAGAGAGATCTCCATAGTTAAAAATCATATTTTACAAGTTACAGAAATATCTCTATAATATCTTCTCTGTTTGATATTTAATAAAATACTGCTCGTACATACGTAGCAGAAGAAATTTGCAATTGATTCATCAAAGTACAAACTCATATTTATTAAGGAAATCTTGACCTAAAATTTTTTAACTCAACTGATTTTTATTAAAATAATGATGTTCATATCTAACTTTCTGTAAAATGTCCACAGAAAACATTTATTCTCTGGAGTTTTTGTTAGCTCTGTCCTTTAAAATGCCATTGGAGAACCAGTATAATGATAGAAGGGATTCCACATAACAATGACTTTTTAATATCAGGGTTTTTTTGAGCCCTAACTTGTTCACTCTTTTTAAAATTTTTTTTCTAATATTAAACTTATATATTAATTTTTTTTTGAATATGACTTTAGTAATATAAGCATCTCAATGTAAAATCCTCAGAACTGAGGCTCTTATATATGCTGTTCTTCTTAAAAGCTTCATGGAGTAGATGTTTGAAAATGGCATATTGGCGATAATTAGAAGCACAGGGTGAATATTTTCTTTTTTTACATTAAGATATAAATGTGTTCTGTACAGTAGGTCTAAGATTTTCTAAAATAGTAAAAATTTGTTTCTTTGTTAGACCTTGGGTATGACAATGAAGTCAAGTCAGTTTTGCTTCCAGAAAATTAATGCCTTTTTATATTTTAGACTCTGAATCAAGCTTATTAAAATAAGTAGTGCTTTTTATTTATTTGCTTTTGTTTTGGTTTTACGTTTGTAGGAGAGCTAGAGAGAATAAGTTTTTAAGCTGTGTTGGTGGTAGTCCACAAGTTAATTTTGATAATTCAAACATCCTAATGTAAACAATTAATTTTTTCCCTAATGAGATCAAAATCCAAATAAATATCATATCTTTTTTCTTGTGGTTACCATCAACTTAATAAATATTTTATCTTATTTTGTGACAAAAAGTTATGGATTGAAATTTCTATAAATTTTTAATAAATATAAATTAAAAAATGTTAATACACTTTAAGTGCTATTGATTTAGTTTAAAGTATGTAAAGCTTGCCATTCCTTTCATGGGAAAAAATTAAGAATGCATTTATAAAAAGATTCACAAGGATTGTACTTATATATTTATTTACAAAATTAAGATACTTTACCTAATAACTTCATATTTGTTACTTCTTTGCATGATTTTTACATGTGTTACAAGAAAAAAATAATTTGTATGCATCTGCCAAAAGGTGAAGCTTTATGCTGCATACTATGGGGGATATGAGGTCTAAAATTTAGCAAAAGCATTGAAACAAAACTAAATGCACCTTGACATATATCATGAATTAAATTTATAAGTGAATATGATATTTAATAAGGATTATATAATACATACAGTTTCTTAGGAATGAGAGGGGTACGGAAGTAGTCAGGGAGAAAAGAGCACAGTCCAGTTAGAGTTATGCCATAAGCAAACGATCGAACATGTTTTTTGAAAATAGTAAAAGAGTTCTCATTGACAAGAACATAGTATGTGTATAGTGAAACATAATTCACTAAGCTCAATTCAAACCTCTAGAAAAATATAATGTAGAACCAGTTTTTGAAAAACACAAATGGGAAACTAAGGAATTATTGGGTAGGCAATGGGGAGCCATGGAGGACTTTGAATTCAAGAATGACATGATAAAAGGATGTATTTTGCTGGCAGCAGTAGGCAAAATTGGTATGATTATAGAATGGAAGTTACACAAACTATCTGACACTGACTTAAAAGCTTCTCAAAACATCTTCTAAAGACCAGAGAAGCAAGGCCTCACTCTCCTAAAAAGTCTTGAAACATTTTAAGTGTTTTTACAATAATAACCTAACTGTTACAGCAACAACCCAAATAGCCATTTGTTTCTTGCTTGTGTAAAACTTAATGTGGAGCGGGGGGAGAAGGCATGTTTATATTTTTACTTCAAATTTTGTTTCTTGGCCCACCCACAGATATTTCTTGAAATGGCTATGTTAAAAATGTCATACATGAAGACACATGGTAATAACATAATTTAGATTCATTTTGCTTGGCTATATATTGATTTTTACCAAAATGTGGCCCAGATTAGAAGATTAATAAAGATGAATTTATGCAGTCATATTTTCATTCTTTTAAAATAATAAACAAATAAAATATAATCCAAAAATATACAACAAAACCATTTTACAGTGTTATTGAAGATGCCTGATTTGAGGTTTTGATCCTGGAATATTTGGCTACGTTCAATAAAATGCTAAGCAAATTTTCCCTGAATATCTCACAAACTGCAATGCACTTCACATTATGTTCATCAAAATTATAAATCACTTTGTGTTAATGAACTCAGAGAATCTTGCAATAATAAAGAAATTAAAACAAGAATGTTATGGCATTGCTCTGCATCATGATCTTTAATGAGTAACCCTAAGTTTTTGCTTATTTTGTATTTTCTGTGACACCATTAACACCCTTGTCTTATTTATTTATTCATTATACTTAACTTATTAATTAACTCTGTTTTTTTTCCATTAATTCTTCAGTGGGAAGAAATTAGTGGTGTTGATGAACATTACACACCCATCAGGACTTACCAGGTGTGCAATGTAATGGAACACAGCCAAAATAATTGGCTGAGGACAAACTGGGTCCCCAGGAACTCAGCTCAGAAGATCTACGTGGAGCTCAAGTTCACTCTACGGGACTGTAATAGCATTCCGTTTGTTTTGGGAACTTGCAAGGAGACTTTCAACCTATACTACATGGAATCTGATGATGATCATGGGGTCAAGTTCCGAGAGCATCAGTTTACAAAGATTGACACCATTGCAGCTGATGAAAGTTTCACTCAAATGGATCTTGGTGATCGTATTCTTAAACTCAACACTGAAGTTAGGGAAGTAGGTCCTGTTAACAAAAAGGGATTTTATTTGGCTTTTCAAGACGTTGGGGCCTGCGTTGCCTTGGTGTCTGTGAGAGTGTACTTCAAAAAGTGCCCATTTATAGTGAAGAATCTGGCTATGTTTCCAGACACTGTGCCCATGGATTCCCAGTCCCTGGTGGAGGTCAGGGGTTCTTGTGTTAACAATTCCAAGGAGGATGATCCTCCCAGGATGTACTGCAGTACAGAAGGCGAATGGCTTGTACCCATTGGCAAGTGCTCGTGCAATGCTGGCTATGAAGAAAGAGGTTTTATGTGCCAAGGTAAGTCTTCTCTCTTTTCCTTAGAAGCAGCATTTCTCACCTGTGAGTTTATCATAGAGAAATTGAAAGAAATGCATTTAGCCTGAACTCACTTGGCAATAAAACATGCCTTAAACTGAGCAGAGTCTATTTATAGACTAAATTTATCCCACTTGATATGTTGATTCATAGTGTTTTAGAAATATTAACATATTTGAGTATGTGGTGCTAGAATGTACCCCACTAGAGGTATATTCTAATAGAATTAGATTGTTTTTGAGTAGGTTTGTGTTTTTCTATTTCATAGCTTAATAGTCTTTTCTTATACATTAGGTTTTTAAATGTATAAATGCATAGGAAAAATTAAATACCTATTCTTTAGATCTAGTCTGTTCTAACACCTTCATTTGTTATTACACTCTGCCAAAGGAATTGAGTTCAATATTCTACTGATAGCCATTCAGTAAGTCTCTAGTCCAGGGGGAAGAAATTCATACACTTTAAACATAAATTTACCTTTCAGTAGCAATTTGAACAGAACATGCCATTTTACTGTTGACTACAGACATATTTTATAGAAAAAAATTAATGAGAGCAAATGGTACACTGTAGCTTCATACTTCTTGGTATTATTTAGATCCTTGGCAAACACCATTAAAATACTGTAGTGGTGGGGGGTAGGCAGAGACAAATGTATTTGAAAAAATAAATAAATAAATTTAAAAAAATAAAAATAAAATATTGAGACTTAAAAAAAATACTGTTTCTAGATATAGTTTTGAAAGTTCTATAATTGAAACAATTAACAATAACTATTTGCTCATATACATGAGTGGAGAAAGAGAAGTCTCAATAGCCTTCATATTCCACTTTGAATTGTATTTTATTACTGTGATATTATTTGTGACATGATATTTGTAAGATTAATTTTAAACAAAATGATTAAGCCTTAGCTCAAGAGGAATTAAAAAATTGTCTTTCCCCTCTAATTTGACCCCTATGGAACCAGTGTCTGACACCAAGAGAGGAATAGATGTGTCTCCATTTTAATAATTTGCATCAGTTTTAAGCAGCACCATCTCATAAAATATTCCATTGAGCAACAAACCTAATCATTATATGTTTGGATTTTAAATTATTTTATATAATGCTTTATATCTCATTGATAGTTACAAGAACTGGGAAAATAAGTATCAGTGAGGTAAATAGACTTACATAAAATTTCTAATAGAAATTAAACATTTAAATTATTAGTCATTATGCATGCTATATTGAGGACACACTTTAGTAGAAGAGTTTTTTTAAAGAGTAACACTAAGTTGTATTCAGAAAATTCACAATAAACTCAGAATTGCTGCCATTTTTCTAACCTCATCTTAATTTACTGAACCACTTTTTTTAAGTAACTGCTATGCTATTCAATGATACTGCATATCAAATTACTCCTAGTGAAAACATTTATGTCAAATTTTTACACCCTTTAGTCATGTATTTGTTACACTGAAGGACATCAACAGCACATCTTTGATATAAAAATGCTATGTTATTATCAACTTTCTCAGCATTTAAAAATACTAGTTTCAGAATAAGAGATACATATGTATAAATACAACATATTCTGAGAAAATATCTTGAAGATAAACTAATAAAAATAATTTTAGTAGAATTAGGAACAGTATGTAACATGGGATGTGATTAGAATTTAAAAAGGGGATGATTTTTCAGCCATGTAATTTAAAGGTGGAACACATTCGTATGGTTATTTCTTGACATTTGCTGATGTTGGCAGGTGCATTTTGGTGTCCATTCTTTTCATAATCAACACATCTTGTGTATTCAGCTTATTAGACAATGTATCAACATGTTCTACTTTGTTCTGAATTACATGAAATATTGAGTATAAATCAAATGGATTTTAACGAATACTATTTTTAATGTCAGCTTAGTATATACTGTGTCTTGAAAATGCAATACACATAAATTAATTTTACAATCTTGCATCTGTAGTATTGTTGACTAGCGTGGCTTGAGACTTGTAATCTGTTTCTGTTGTCAATGATGGTGCTAGTGTTTATTATGGTTTCCTTTCTTAAATTTTAATTTTTGGTTGGTTTTTAATAAACTTGAGGGCTGATCAGAATAGCTTTCTATTCTCACAATCAGTGTTTGATCATAAGTACTTCAATTCAGGCACAAAAATGTAAAAATGAAAAAATAGGTAAATAAGCATGTATTTCATGAGTTCAGTCTTATTTCGTTTGCTATTTCTTTGTTTACAAAAATATCGTGTTACTCTTTCAAAAAGAGATAGAACAATACTTTGATACACCTACTTACTTGGAGTGAACATTAAAGACAGATTTTAAACACACCAGGGGAATTTTATAATATAACGATCAGTAATCACAGCTTTCACTTGCCTAAAACAGGAAAATAAGACTCCTTCACTTTATTTCATTTACTTCATGTTCAACAAACATTTAATACATACCTACTTCATTTCAAACACTGTATTATGAATTCAAAAATTTTTTAAAAATCTACAAAGCACTTATTTGATGCCAGACACAGTGCTAAATTAAGTAATATTTATGAGTTATTTCATTTTTCTTTTAAAATAACCTCTTAATACACACTATTATTACCTCTATTTAAAAAAATGAGCACAAAGCTTTGATAGTTGAAATAGCTTTTCTTAAGTTCCTTAATGAATGAGTGTGAGAGCTGAGGTCTGAAATCAGTCAGTCTGATTCCAAAGTCTGCAGCTGTAACCACAACCCACACTGCTTCCTTATGATTCAGTCTGGTGGTGACAGAGACTAGGAAACCCACAAGGACTCAAATTCCTCTGGAGTTAGAGTACTGTATATTGAAGAATGAGTAGGGCCACAATGAGTTGGCACAAAGTAGCTAAGAATATGTTAGTCCAAGGTTTACCTATTTCAGTTAATTTCCCAGATTTTTCTGGTTCTAGATTTTTAAAGAATTGCTAGCCAAAATGGTTTATAGTGGGAAGATTAAGTTTAGCCTAATCTAATAAAATCTGAATATGTGGATTGTCATGCACCTTAGATGGGCATTAAAAAATCTACCAAATTTAATTCAGTAAGTGTTTTTTTTCTGAGCATCTATTAATACCAGTTAATAATGTGCCAGACACAGGGGAAACACGGATGAATAAATCATTGTATCTGCCTCCCAGGAGCTCACAATCTTGTATGAAAGACAGATACATAAATGAATAATTTTACTGCAAGAAAGACCAATAAATCTTCTACCAGGGCTAAAAGGTGCCTTGGTAATGGAGGGGAAAAAGAGATTAGTTTTGAGTATTTTAAAATTATGTAATGGAAATTGTTCATTAATAATGAGAAGCCTTTGAATTGAGTTTTGGACTCTTTGTTATTATGCTTAGAAACTTTTGAGGTAGAGAGAAAGGGCTAATGAATGACCTTACACAGCTGACATTTCAGAAGGTGAGGTTTATACTTTGTGTATTGAATCATTATCTTGTAATCTCAAAACGTGGAAGGGCCCCATTAGAATTCTGTGTTCCACAGGTAGGCCTTGGAGGGGCAGCAGGGTCTACATTTCATAACCATAGTGTTTTCTGACGTTGGCAATGAAATATTCTGAATTATCTATTTCACTCTAAATGGATATTTGGGACAGTTACTGAATGATGAAAATATAACAATCTATAATAGAAAAATATATTCATAAATATATTTTGTATTTAAAAAACTTATCCATTTCTTTGAGAACTGTAAGTAATACCAAAATTGTCTTTGTTTATAGGACCAGAATTCTAGCTATGGCATTATCTACTCTTACATATAACGCACACTTTCACAACAGTCCACTTTTTCTAAAATTAGGAAAATTAAAATCATATGGTACATGTCTTTCTCTGACTGGCTTGTTTCACTTAGCATAATAGTCTCTAGGTCCATCCATTCTGTCACAAAAGTAAGAGTTCCTTTTTAATGGCTGAGTAGTATTCCATTGGGGAATGTACCACAACTCTTTTATCCACTCACCTACCGATTGGCACTTGGGCTTTTTTCCAAGCCTTGGTTATTGTAAATAATGCTGCAATAAACATAAAGGTGCATATATTCTTTCAAATTACTGTTTTAGATTTCTTTGAATATATACCCAGATGTAGAATTGCTGGGTCATATGACAGTTTCATTTTTAAGTTTTTGAGGAAACTTGTATACTGTTTTCCACAATGTTTGCACCAATCTGTGTTCCCACCAAGAGTACACAAGAGTTCCTTTTTCTCCACATCCTCCCAAACACGTGCTGTTTTTTTATTTATTGATGATTGCTATTTTGATAAGTGTGAGGTGATTCTAAAGAACAAAATAAACAAAATGACAAAATAGGAAACAGACTCATAGATACAGAACACAAACTGACAACTTTCAGAGTGGAGGAGATTGGGTTAAATAGTTGAAGGGATTAAGTAAAAAAAAAATCTCATAGATACAGACAACAGTAGAATGATTACCAGAGGGAAAGGGGGGGGGGAGGTGGAGAGGATAAAGGAGGGGTAACTTTGGATTTTGAACACACAACACAAGATACAGATGATGTATTATAGAATTGTACACTTGAAACTTATATAATTTTGTTAACCAATATCAACCCAATAAATTAAATAAAAAAATAAAAACTAAGATGAGAAAAAGTAGACAACGGTATCTTTTAATCATTTATTTAGGTATTAAATATTTATTGAGTCTCTAATATGTGCCAAATCCTATCATACACTAGAAAAAGAAAGATGGACATTATCACTGCTGAATTAGTTTGGTTGATAGCTCAAAAATGTGAGTGTGTGTGGGTGGGTGTGCAAAATTAATGTGTCTTAAAATGTAAAATGTTTTGGTCTCTGCCTCCACAGGAACATAGATTTTTAACTGAATTACTAAACAGATTTAAGTTAATAATAGTTTAAACTGAAGAGTAGGTATTAGCATTCATGAAGAAGAATGTATTGATATGGGAGTCTA